GAGGAAATCCTCGACCGTTATTCACCCTGACAAAAATTACGGTAACATGAGCTCATCGCTGCCAATTTTACACGACAAGCGACAGTGCGCATAAACGTATTCAAGCTCTGGAAATCTGCACTACGTTTCGCAGCTTCTCGATGGCAGTTTAAGCTTGATATATTCACTCTAAATTTGAACGCACTGTACCAAATCAGAAGCGCAGAAGCACCGGTGGCTCTTCCCGAAATTGCGTACCTTCTTCCGAAATTCGGTTGTCAGAAGCGCAGGGCTCAATGGGAGTGATGATGACGGCTGCAGGGTGTGCACGTTGTTGGAGGGGCTTCAAAACGCGGTCCCAACCACACCCTCAGCGCACTGAGGGCTCTAGCTCACCAATGAGGTTCATTGATGTCATCAAAAAGTCGCACCGCTCTCCAGACAACGTGGTTACTGCCTTTAAGAGCAGAAGTGCCTGAGGGAGCATGCTTTACCATGTTGGACGAGAACGAATTGGACTTTTTATTTCAAAAATGTTGTCTACAGCTTTTATAAACTACTGTTTTACTGGTATTGACAGTGGGAAATCCTACGCGTTATAGTATTCCATAACAGCGCCATATGCAAAGGTTTACTGTTGAAAATCGCGGATCACGACGACGTTACACTCGTCCCTTCCGGGTAGTGAAATGCATTTGATCTATGATTTAATTCGTATTCTTCATACTTTAGAATTTACTATGTAAATAGGGAATATCGCACATTTTGCGGTGACTTTAAAAGGTGGTTAATGGTTAAAATGATAGTGATCATTTCGATGTAGATTGCGGTAACCGTGGTCGAAATAACCGTCGGCTTCGTCATCATCCTCATGGTCGTAGAAGTGTACGCTCCTAGTCTTCATCTTGGTTGAGGGTCTGCAACATCTTTGGTCTGATTTTTTGTAGTATTCAGTGCTCAAATCAACGTTTGACCTGTTTCTCTTCCGAGATCCAAAAACAGCGTTGAAGGTGAGCGCTAGAACGGCAACGACAAGCAAGAGACAGATTCTCATTTGGAGATGGCTTTGATACGATAGTTGCTTTGGTAATTCTGAATATGCCAAAAGGTAAGCTAAGATGAAGGACTGGAGTTCAGCTTTGATTGGATCGAATCTGCCATTTTTATAAGCAGGAACTTGGGGTCATAATATATTCTCAAACGCTTGTTGCGATAGAGAAACGTCTCATTAAGTCAGCAGAGCCGCTGTAATTTGTCGCATATTTTTGATGTTTCGACACATATTTGCAGCGGTAGAGACATTTTTGGATATAACCCCGTGGAGATATCGCTGAAGCAGGGCTATTTAACTCTAACCTTACCAAAAGAAAAATAATTTTCTTAAGCGGTTTAAAACGGACGGGCTTTTCGCTTACTCCTGTCTCCACTAGAAGGGCGACTGTAGGTAAGGTGGTCCTTCGGCCCTTTTAACCTATTTTCTTATCAGGGAGATTGAAAAATTCGGCTTGCTCACAGAAAGTACAAGAATTAGCAGATATTGCGGATGTTCTAGAAATTACTGTAGTCATCAGAGGCAAAATCGCAGCGGCGGAAAGCACGCCGCGAACCGCATGACAGGTTCCGAGTGCCTGAAAAGCTCTCCAGGGTCAACCGTTACGTTGGACCGATATTGGAGCGACGTTGGACCGATGTTCACCGCTCTCCGCGCCGGCATTCACTCTCGCCACCCGCGAGCCGTCTGTGTCTCCGTGCGTACGTTCACTCTCGGCATTACTCTCGTCGTCGCGTTGGACTTTGTCCAACGGACGGTTGACCTGCTTCCCGGTTCTCAGACACGCCCACTGCGCGACATGTGGAAGGGAAAACGACGGCAATGTTTTGAAATATTCGTTACCGACATCGTTCATTCTTCTTTTCAAATGCAGAGTCATCGGAACAAGCAACTACCTTTCGCTTTCAGTTTTTCTGATCTCTTAATTAGCTTCGCCGGAGGGCTTTGTCATCCACTCCCAAAGTCAACGGGCGACAAGGTGGACCATTTTTTCGGGTTTTGACCGTTTCCCTTTTTTCATATACAAATCACTTGGTACAATCTGTGGTGCAATCTGTTGCAGTAACCTTCAGCTAGGTATAGGAAAGTAGTTCTTCATCAAATCTAACATCAATTAAGAATGAGCAACTACTGCATAAAAGTGGATATGCGTGTCGCTACGCTAGTTTTTGGATGCACAAACGTAATACCTAACCCCAAAAACGCTCATTAGGTATGTGTCATTAAGTCCGTACCACCGTTCGATTTTGCGGCGCATGTGAGTGACGGGAGGAGACATGTGAGACGCAGACAGCGATGCATTCACAGCAGTGGGCGGCCGGGGACCCGTGAGGTGAGCAAGGCCCTGTATATCTTGTCGCGCGTTTCCGACTCCCAGAAGTGGTAACAACTTGACTTTTGCTGAGCCACCTACACTCTTTTTTTCAGGGAGCAAAGCGGTGACTGGGTCACGACAAAGTTCAAAACCACTCCATTGATGTCATCGTATCTGCTGGCTGTTCTGGTCTCTGAATTTGAGTATATTGAGCGTAATACGAAGACCGGAGTTAAGGTAGTTCGCTTTATTTAAATGACTTAAATAGAGCAGAAACGAAAGGTATGTGAATTGATCCATTGTGTTCAGTTCCGAGTTTGGGCACGACCAGAAGGCAAAAGAGATGACAAGATATGCTCTGGATGCTGGCATCAAATGCCTTGAGTTCTATGAGGATTATTTCGGCATCAAATTCCCTCTTGAAAAGCAAGGTTTGTGGAAAGGCTAGACCACCGAAGAATACATACAGAAACTTGAAATTCTTCTCTCTCGTGAACTTTGTAGTCTTTCCTTCCGCTGAGAGATGAGGAAGTCTCCAATATTTTGCTACAGAATAAGAAGCTCAAACTCAAGGAGCTCTACAGTTAATGCACTAAATACTGTCACGTTTTCAATCCACTCAATCAATAATATAACTAAAATAAATAAATATAAATAAATACAACTAATATCCAATAATATCAATAGTAATAAATGTGGTGGCGGAATTTTTTGTAGCAATACTTACTTGATTTCATAGAATATCATAAATTTTGGAAAGAACACATTCTTCAGTTATTCATGAAAATGCTATTTAAATGTTCATTTTCCAGACATGGCTGCGATCCCTGACTTCCCGTCTGGAGCGATGGAGAACTGGGGTCTCGTTACCTACAGGTAGGCCTTACTCCACGGGGTCTGAAGATAAGTAGGAAGCTTGTATTGCTGGTAATTAATTTTTAAAGGCACGAGTTCAAAGCAACTCCCCATGAATGAGGTATCCTCCCTTTCAGAAACGAGAAGGTCGTCGGGTGCAGACCACACACCACAAGTGACGACGGCCTCCAAGTAAATCTGGTTCATAGTGATAGCTGATTCTGGTAAATGATAGTTGTAATTAGTGACAACTGATAGAATACAACTGCAACAGGCTAATCATTTCATTGGCAGAAAACATTAACATTTTGTGAAGGCCGTCGTCACTTGTGGTGCATGGTCTGCACCCGACGTTCTTCTCTTTTGAAGTGGCAGGGTTTTCGTGCACATAAGTGCGTGGCACTTTCGTGACCAGAAAAAAATCCGACAGATGCGCTAAGTTCCTGACTTGACTGTAGCAGCTGCGTCCATTTTTACTCATTTACAGTATTAGCAGGGGTTTTTTCTGCTCTCTCTCTCATAGCGGCGCTGTACCTCTCCGTTTCATGGTTGGGGTCACAATAAAATACAAACCTCAGTTTGAATGTTGACTATGGCCCTCTCTGCTTTTCACTTCACTAACAGTTCTCTTCGCGCCTCTTATTCCAATTTCTAGCGAGATAACATTCCGAATTCATCGCTACCCGCGCCTTCAGGTACGCCGGACACGTGAGGCAACCTATGGTTAACGTAGGAGTTTATGGGATCTTGCGGGGCTGAGTTTACGATAGATGAACTTTCGTTAGAGAAGCATGAGAAGACTACAGTATAGATTTTGGTTTCTGAAAATGTTCGAAGAGAATAGATGAGTTTTTCGAAGAGTCTTAAAAAAACGTGTGGTACCATTTTTGTGCTTGAAAAGAGAACTCACCATTTCTCTTACCTGAAAGGCTGGGACCTTGCATCGATTGCCACTGAGCAGCTGAGCCTTTCTCAAGCTCAGGATGTGTGCGGCGATGAAGAGCATTTGGCAACGACACCTACCTTAAAGGCAAAGTTCGGGCTCAGACCCACCTAAGAAGCCCTTACCATGGCTAGAAGTGCTGGGTACGCAAGTAGCGCCACCTTTCTACATCGAAACGCGTCACTAGGACCCTAGGCGCCATGGACTTCTAACAGACTCCACCAAACTTAACATGGTCCGCCCACCGTTCGATATCTTGTCTGCGTCGCTGCGTTGATCTGCTATGCTCTCTCTTCTCGGACTTCTCTACCACTCTCCGCGCTCACATTATCTCTCATCTCCCTGCCTGTTTTGAACTTCTCCACAGCATAGAGCAAAATGCTCGTATTTCCTGTGCATTTCAGGATTTTCTTTTTTTTCTCCATTGGCGTCCACCTCTCATACCTA